AGGTGCTGAAATCTGTGGGACTTGGTGACAGATTGCCTGTCAGGAGAGCTGGAAGCCAAGGGCCTTTTGCTGCCTGCCTAACATGGCTGAGAAGTTGGAGGGTAGCACCATTAAGTGGAGGACATTTCTTCTAGCATTATGATAATGAGTTTATTTTAGAGGTCTGGGGGATCTCTTAGTTCTCTCAGAGTGTGTTTAGCTGTTAGAAAAACCGATAAGAGCTCTCATGGGAGAACTATCTTGATTTGTATACCAAAACTGGTATTGGGACATGGTCTTTTGGAGTCATAAAAAATAATTTTGAAGCTGGATCTCACAGTTTTTCAGTCCACACAGCCTTTTTTAAGGGACATATTTCTGCCCCTTAATGTTACTTTAAAACCTAAACAAGGAGTATAGAAATATTTTTCTCAGCATTTATTCTAAATTCTAGTATGTTTAAGGCAGGTTCAGTAGGTCACGCACTTCCTGAATACTAGGAACTGCTTCCCCTCCTTTTCCATTGCTTAACCAGTAGTTGTCTTGTGTGCAGGTAGTCTGGATAAAAGGACATGGTCACAAGAGAATTGTAGTGTTAAAAAATGACATGAAAAGTAAGTAAGCATCCATCCCGCACCCCTCTTAAAAATCTTGGTTCTTGCTGACATTTCTCTCTGACAGTGCCCTTTGTCCTCTAGGTCGTTTGAGTTCCTTCGGGTTTTCCCCTGCCAATCAAGAAAGCCGGCTCTCGGATAATGAGCAGATTCTGGAGGTGTCTGAATCTCACCCAGCCTCAGACCTCAACCTTGGAATGAGTAAGAGAAGAAAACAAAGCAAAGCTTTGAAATTCTAGGAGAAATGACTTGCAGTGGGGTTGAGGGAAGGGGCAAAGGACAACAACAGGTTATTTTCATTAAGGAAAGTTAAATATACATTTTAAAAACACTATTGGTATTTGGATAATGTTGTTGTTGTTTGTTGTTATGTGCTGTCGAGTCAGCCCCGACTCACATCAACCCCTCCTTGGGTTGCCGAGGCAGTATCACTATGGAAGTAGATTGCCCAACCTTCCTTCCAAGGAGTGGCTGGTGGGTTTGAACCGCCAGCCTTTTGGTTAGCAGTCCAGTGCCTTAGGCACATTTGATAGCATTTCATGGTTGCCTAGTTAAGGTTCTTAGGAGATGTTGGCACCCCGGTTATCATAGTATATCACCTCAATCCAGGACATCCCTGGCAAAGACTAGAGTGAAACCTGTGACAGCTGGGACTGCCTTGTTTTTCTGAGTCTCACAAGTTTTCTGCCTTTAACAAGGTGCAGTCTTAGCACTTTTCTATTGCTCATTTTAGTGGAAAATGTTTGAATTTTCCTTCTCTGACAAGTTTCTGCCTTACACAGCTCTGGCTTTCACAGGTTTTACTGTGTATATGGGTGTGTATATATATACACACACACACAGTTGTTAGGTGTCATTGAGTGGTTCCAACTCATGGTGACCCTGTGTACAACAGAATGAAACACTGCCCCTAGTCCCCACAATCCCTGTGTTTGAGCCCATTGTTGTAGCCACTGTGTCAGGCCATCTCCTAGAGGGTCTTCCTCTGTTTTGCTGACCCCTCCGCTTTACCAAGCATGATGTCCTCCTCCAGGGACTGGTCCTTCCAGATAACATATCACAAGTATATGAGAGGAAGTCTCACCATCCTCTCCATATCTGTGTGTGTGTGTGTGTGTATGTATATTTTAAAATTTTATTGTAAAAATATATAACATTGTAACCATTTTTAGGTATACAATTTGTGAAATTAATTACACTCACCATGTTCTATGATCATTACCTCTATTTCCAAAACTTGTTCATCACCCCAAACAGAAAATCAGTACCCTAGAAGCAATAATTCCCCATTCCTCCCAACCCCCAGGCCCTGGTAACATCTACTTTGGTCTCTGCATTTGCTTATTCTACATATTTCATGTAAGTCAGATCATACAATATTTGTGTCCCTTTGTAGGAAAGACTTGATATTGATGCATTAATATTACTCAAAATAAAATTGATAATACAAGTTTTATGTAGAACCATTTCTATAGTAGAAAGAAACAGCTTTCTTGAATTTTAGTGGTTAAACTTTACCAAACAGGATTTTTGAGTCTGTTGTTATGTATGAGAGTTTTATCTTCATACAACTCTGCAAGACAGAAGTGTTACTGGTCTCTGTGCTTATGTATTAACTGAGTTATATGATCCTTTGCACATCATAAGTCTTTTTTTTAATACATTTTAATGAAATATAATTTATGTATAGTGAGATACACAAAACTAAAGTTAC